ATATATGTGTGTATATATATATAAAATAGAGCTTGTATTTATTTTTTGCATATTATTGCAATGAAACATGAGCCATTGCACTTGTTCCCAGATCATAAGCTGGACACTTACATGAGTTGCAGGCCACAGTAAATATTTCTCAGTGCAGACAGGTAGATGCCATTGGAAAAAACAGAACAAATTCTTAAGTTGCCAATATTGTCACAAAGTCTCCCTGCAGAATGAAGTTGTTTGACAAAGTGTTTCCCTGGTGATTTGGCTGCAGATGAAAATGTCTTCAGCAATAAAATTCCGTGCTTGGGTCTCAGCTCTCTGTGCTCATCAATCAGCAAATGACATATCAAGGATCTTTTCTTGCTGGATTAGTTAAAAGGTGGGGGGAAATATGTGAAACATTGATATTTCTTCGAATTCCTGTAGGTAGAGGCTTTTTCCTACTCTTAAATGCACATTCTTTTTTTTCACAAAATATGTTTTGTTGGCTCCAGCTTCCTGTAGCAATCAATAGTGCTGCAGTAGGACTAATATAAAGCTAGTTTTTATGTACACAGATTTTCATGCCTGGAGATACTGGCTACTCTCAGAAAGTCCCCGTCAGTTGCAGGCAAGGGAAGGGTGAGGAGAGAAGTGCCTTTGCCAACAGTGCTGCCCTCGGTGCACTGAGGACTGAGAACCCGTTGTGGTTTAATATGTCCATGTTTTGCCAGCAAATTGCATTTTGTACATTTTTCGATTACATTTTTATTGTAAATACAGTTTTAATGTGATGGGATAATCATACTCTAGATCTGCTGATACTTTTATCAAATGTCAGTAATGGCTTTAGAAATTTCAGATACATGGCTGCAAAGAAATAAATCACCTTACAGTTTAATTACCTCAGATACAGCAGTAGCAATGATCTTCTGTAAAGCTGTGTTACTAAATAATTGCCAGCAATGAAGCTGCTTTCCTTAAAGAATGCTCTATTAAGGAGACAATTTCACAATGTTTTATGCTACATCTGTTGCTGCCAGTACTAAAATTTATAAAAGAATTTAAAATATGACAGATGTCAGCAATAATTGTTATTTCATGCCTACGTTTTAGGGAAAAATTGGAACTTATTGCAGTACTCATGAAGATTTATATGAAAGATTTCATATGAAATCCATATATACTTTTAAAATACTTTATTGTGAGTTATGATATGGGATCCAGGGAAATATGTTAAAACACAATACAGCAGAACGCCTCTGTGTAGTGTGTCCATCTGCTGAGAAAAATACAGAAAAAAGAATCACTCATTTTCCTACTAAATGTCTCAAAACAGTCACTCCTGTTCAGGTCCAACCACCTGAGAGGCAAAAAGGGAGCACAGATGGAAAGATGAGTATCCCATTAAAAGAAAAAAAAAAGGAAAAGGTGATAAAATGATGAGAAATAAGGAAAGGAAAGAAGAAAAGAAGAAAACATAAAAGTTTAAGGGAGACCAATGAGAAGGAGAAGGCTGATGAGCTGGAAAGGCAAGAGAAATGGGAAGAACCAAGATTCTCGACATCGAAGATAAATGAGGAGAATCAGCTGATTAGGCAAAGGAAAGATATAGGAAGGAAGTGCAGCAATAGCAGAAAAATGGAGAGTTTAGTAAAAGCAGGTATCAAGGACACCAAATAATCAAATAATAGAAGGCAAAAGGATATGGGCTGCCTTTGTCCCCCATCAGCAATCAGTAATTGGAAGAGAGGAAGATAAAATGATGGAGACAAAAGTCAAAGGCACAACAAAAATGTGTTTTCCAATTTGTTGCTCTTCTTGGATGCTGGGTTTCCTTTGGGTAAATTCCATAGTTACTTTGGGTAAATTGCACTTAAATACTAATGTCTTGCTAATTGCTGGTGAACGCGTTGAATTATTTGAAACAAATTGGGATCTTGTCTTAAAATAGAGGGCTTGAAAGTGACTCGGAGCAATTGGCATTGTTTCTTTCTCCCCATGCTTCCAAGTGAGAGCGCGTGGTGTAGCCCTCCCTCGCTAATGCAGTGACCAGCAAACACTTCAGGCTGGTCACTCAGCCGCTCTCTGCGAAGGCACCGCAATTTGTAGGCTATGGCAATAAGAGTACATTTGATTTCTAAGGGTTTTTTTGAAGGAAAAATGTTAGGTGTTTTTATCCTCCAATCTGGGAGTTGGGAATCAGGCAGCACTTAATGTATTGAATGCAGGAAGAGAAAACTTGAGCATAAGGTACAGAGACATGTAGGTTGGGTTTGGATGAAACACATTTGTGTGTGGAAAATTATAGACTGCCTCAACCAAAATGACTTTTTCCTTCTCAAAGAAAATATGTTTTTCTCCCATCTATTGGGAGATGTTACAGACCTCCCATTGTAGCATGTTTATTTTTTATCCACATGCACTTAAACAGCAGCACTATTGAAGTTTTGTTTGTTTGTTTTTGTTTTTTTTTTTCAAAAATTACAGAGGACTCCTTCAAGAAGATGTCTGTCTCCCTTCAGTCTGTATGTTTTTATTTTATGTGCTTATTGGTTTATCTGGGAGTTAATCTGTGGCATTTCTTCATGATTCTGGAAGACTTAAAAAAAAAGTGTTCATACTGCTGTGCCCTCTCCCCTTACTAAAAATAGTTACCAGAAGAAAAAGAACTTGGAAGGGAATTTGGAAGGGCTGCGAGAATATCTATCTGGTGTAAAATTGTCTGTTCCTGCATTGAAATAGTGATTTAAGAATATAGTAAAACATAAGTAACAAAAGGATCAAGCCAAATGAAGTGTTGTGATTTCTTCCAGGCCAGGATTAATTTAAATGCAGAATGGATGTAACATAAGGAATAACAACATATAGTAACAGCCCAGTTTAACAAAAATAAAAAAAAGAAAGAAAAGTGAGAGAGGGAGGTGCTTACAGGAAGAGATCTAGACTGGAGTAAAGCCTTGGTATTTTTCCCTTGCTTTGTTGTCTTTCCTTGGGGCAGCCATGGGTTTGAGACATGAGGCAGCAGAGTTGTGTCGAGGTTTGGTGAGATCTACAGGGGAAAAACCTCAGCTTCTAAAAGCTCTTCATAGGGAAAAGAAGCAATTCTTAGACTGGTTCAGATGAATAAGTGAAGGAGAAACCCAGAGTTGGGTGGTTCTGTTCCCAGGACGATAGGTGTTGCCATAGTGACTAAGAGGAGTTGTGAAGACAACACGGGCTCTGCTTTCCCTAAAGCTGAGTCAGCCCTTGGCGCCTCAGAGCAGTCCGTGGGGCAGGGGCAGCGCCAGGCCCGCGCGGGGCCGGAACGGGCTCCTCAGAGCCAAACACGGGCGCTGGCGGCCGCTCGCTGGCTGGCGGCTCGTGCCCGGAGCCGGGGATCCGCCTGCCCTCAGCGTGGAGCCGCGTGGCTCTCACAGAGCGTGAGGCCGCTGCCCTCAGCGTGGAGCCGCGTGGCTCTCACAGAGCGTGAGGCCGCCTGCCCTCAGCATGGAGCCGCGTGGCTCTCACAGGGCGTGAGGCCGCCTGCCGAGTCTGCAGCCAGGGAGCTTCGCTCCTGGAGGCAACAAACTGCCAACAAGCTGGGCAGCAAACAGCTTGAGTTGTAGAGTGAGCCTGTGCTTCACAGTAAGTCACTATCTAGGATTTGTGCTAAAAAAATCATTTTTTGCTTTAGTAAGAATTACTGTCTTTTACTAAATACACAAAGCCCATCAAGTAGGTGCAGTACTAAAAATGTCAAGTGAGTGAATCATGGGCAGGAAGAGCAGGACAGAGTTTACCTCTACAACATGGAATCTGAATCTGGACAAGGCTCAGAACTGCTTGAGACTAAGATATATGGCTGCCCTGATGCAAAGAAGATAGCATTTTTAAAATTAATGTCCCTGGCTTTGACTTTCTTCATACTTCCCTTTTGCAACATTTATTTTTTCATTAGGAGTGCTAATGTGGCTGAAAGATGGATGTGAAGAGGTGACAAGCACCGTGTATGTTTAAATGGGGAAGGATCTGCTGAAGTCTGTGCTCCTGCTGATTTTTAGTCCTGGTAGCGAAAACCGCAGAGCCGAGATGAGCTGCACAGCTGCTGGGGAATATGTTCCTTGCATCAGTCCAGGGCCCCCAGGTTCTCCTCCTCCACTCATAAGGGCACCCTAAATTCACATGGTCTGAACACTCATTCATTTCCTCATTCACCTCATGCTCCCATTTTTCAACTCAGTAAGGGTTCCCTGTGTATATACCAATGTCCTCCTCTTTTTTCCATGCCAAGGTCAGCTGCTTTTCCATAGGTGAAGCTTTGCATGTGTCTTGGTCCTTTGTCTTCACAAGCTCCTTCTTCTCTTCCATTCTTCCCCTAGCTCTTCCTTTTCCTTGTCCCTGAGCTGTTTTGCCCTTAGTGTGACCATTTCCCTGTGTGCTGGGAGCAAGTGCTGCAAGGAGAAAGGGGGACTATGCTGACAAAGAGGAGAGTTGCCATCCTGAGCTGGCTCTTGGGTCTATAGGCCATTGCCCCTTAGAGCTATGGGCTGTTGCCCGTGCACATGGGTGCCTGGCGCAGCTGAATCCGCTAAGTAAATGCGGGAGGTCGCAAAGCCCAGGGCTGTGTGTTTACACCGCTCCTCTTCCATGTTCTTGTTTTCACCAAAATCAATGTGACGTTGCCCATTGCCTAGAACGGTCTCTGAAATGCTGGAATTCAGCAAATAATCCCAAATTTTGAAATTAGCTCATTACTAGCAAATGCACTGAAAATGCCACTCGGCCAACAATCATAAGATCCAGGAATGAAAACTGCCTACTGTGCACTTAAGCCATCAGTGCCTAAGTGCAGTTGTTTTTTCCAGGCTATGATGCATATTTAAGAGTTTTCTTTTAGAGCTTTTGAAGCTGTTTTACAAACGGATCTGATACCTCTTTGACATGTAATTCTGTCTGACTGTCATTCTGAACGGCTTCTCCATGGTGCAGATTCCCCAGCAGTTTTTGTGTAAGACGTGCGTTACATGATGTTTGTGGGATTTGAGTAAGCAACATATGTGTGTTCTTTTCTGTGCAGTTTCACCTTCTGCCTCATAACATCTAATTTGTCTTTATTTATTTATTTATTTTTACAAATATGGATCGATACACTTTGGTTCCTTTAATCCCTCCTCTTGCTGGGGGTTCCCATGCGTCTAACACAGTAGCTCTAATGACCACGCAGCCGGCAAGATTAGTTTTATTAAGTGGCTAATCTGACAGAAAGCCTACGCTCAAAAACAAGGGATTAGTCGTCTAGAGCAGTAGCACTGCAGCGCTGAAAAGTGGTCTGAGCAAATTATTCCACCATCACTAGAGCAGGTGGAGAAATTAAGTCAGTGTGCCTTTGGTTTTGGCTGCTGAGTAGTGGTAAAGTTTATTTTAAAATTGCAGGGGGTTATTTTGCTAGGTAGGGATAGATTTGCTTTTGCTAAGGCAGGAAACTAATAAAACAGTAAAGAACAGATATTTTCCTGAGCAGAAAGGTAAAGGTAAAGGAAAGGCACTGCTGGAGTGACTAGGGATTTTTGTTCTTTTCGTTTTCAATATGAGTTATCTCCAAAAAATTTTAGTGGGGAAGTTGGTGTAGATCATAAAAAAAACACTTGATTGTAGTGGTGTTTAACTTTTCAATTAAATGTCTTTCATTAAATAAAAGCTATTGTGATATATGTTTCAACTTCATGTTCAATCTTGATCCAGTTTACTTGCTGTGATAAAAACTGCAGTACACTGAAGCCCCAAAGAGATTCATAGAGAGCAGTTGTTCACCATAGCATCATTTCTCTAAGATAAATTATATAGCAGTAAAGACAAGTTCATAAACTTTATTGTATAGCTTTAGTAGCAGTGCTTCTGACACTATCAGGAAGGCAAATTCAACACGAGGACCTTCCCTGAGGTTTATTAAACTGTTTTAGAAACTGCTCATATTGATTTTTTTTCCTTTTTAGGATATTTTTTCTAAGCACAATGAGAGGGGTGAGGAGGAAAGTCTCATTTTCTTGATCTTTGGACAATCTTTTTGATTTTCTAGTTATTCTAACATGCAAAAAGAATCGTCCTATAAGAAAAAAATATGCCCTTTGTACTTGATCGACTCAAACACGTTGCTTTTTATAGTTTTGCCATTTTTCTTGAATAGCACGCATCTTTGTCATAGTTTTTAAAATATCTAGAAATAGTATGGTTGCAGTTCTTGAAATTATGTGCAGCTATGAGCAATACGTACTATCTACATTTTCCGTATTTCGAGACTATGTTCTAGTTCTGTGTGCGTAGTAAAAAAAAGATCAATGATTAACAACCCGTTGAGTGGAACTGTACTTTAATTTGTGAATGTTGAAGAAATGAGGATTGAAGTACTTTGCATTTGTATTGGAAACAAATGTCAGAATCAAATGTACTTTGGGTCATTATGTGACATCCCTGAAATACTATGTTTTTTCTATCCTCTGCAAACAGTACTAATAAGCAGAATTAGCACCAGGGATCCTATGGTGTTTTCCTTTAATTGATATATTTCTCTTAAGGATTTCAGAAGATCTGTAAGCAAGTATAGTTTTCACTATTTATCTCTGCATTTATTTTTAGGAAGAACGTAGGAATGTTGAACTATTTCTATTCTAGATGTTGCTGCAGTCTCTTCAGAGACATGCTTCAAACTGAACTTACAGAACTGAAAGACTTAAAGAACAGTTTATACCTTCACTGCCCATGCAGGTGTATCTTTTACATAATAATAGATGCTCCACTGTAAAATCCAAGACACAGATATCTTTTACCACAATTTCTCTTGGTCAGGTCAGTGCTAGGGAACTGCCTAGCCACTTCATAGTAAATATAGTTTTATCTTTATCCTTATGAAGATGTTAGAAAGAAGGAGGAAACAGAAGCTATTTTTCTTGAAATAAAGACATTTTGACAGTAAAGCCATAGTCGGGGAGAGAGCTAACATCTTGACAGTAAAGCCATAGTCGGGGAGAGACCTAACTAATTGAGTTGTATTTTAACTCCTTCAGCCTTGAAGTGAACACCAAACAGGTAAGCATCAAAAATTCAAGTGTGATCTCAAGAATTTAGTGACAAGCTTGGTGAAATTACTTGTATTGGAGCAGCTCGCAGGGACCTGGTGCACCCTCCTTCTTCTCAGTCCCCCTCAGACTGGGAGGAGTGGGCCATCTTTCCTGTATGTCCCTCATTTTGGCACAAGCAGCTTTCCCCCTTCCAGAGGAGACTCCCATGATAAATCTACATGAGCCCCTCCCTACTGGGGATGCCAAATTCATTTGTCAGTGAATAGGAGAAGGTGACAATGAATGAGGTGCCAAATCTGCAGCGCGTGATCTGCACAGAGGTACCATGGCTAGACAAAGTCAGTATTTATAAGGGCTCTGGGCTGGTGAGGAAATCAGGCATCCTGTGCAAGTGAGGAGATGTTTTAAGCCTTAAAGAGGGATTGATTTGTGGTTATTATTGCTGCCTGTGATCTGCCAACAGGGATCTGAAGCTAATCCACTAGAGCAGCACAAGTCAGGTATATTGTGCCAGATGGAGGTGCCAGAATAGGCTACTCCTGCTGCCTTTGATGCTTCCTCTCATGAGGTGATAAGCAGAGCAAAGCAAGGCAGGGTTGGGAGAGACGCGCGGGGGCAATGCTGCCGGCAGCACAAGGCCGCTGCCGGGCGCTGCAGTCGCTGCAGGATCCATTAGCCGTTCCCAGCAGGGTCCTGGCTCCGTGGAGGATCGGGGCAGCTGACCACGCAGAGTGGTTGGACTGTTGAACACTAATATCATCAAGTACTTCTGCACTAAGGGGAGACTAGAAAATGGGGACTGCCTGTAGTTGAGAAGTAATCCTAGAATGCCCCAGTTGTCCTTGAAGTGGAAAACTATTTTGTGTAGGGGCTTTTATTCACTATGAGTTCATGCTCCAGCTCTGAAGTGTATCAGAGATGAGTCTTCTTTCAAAACATTGTGCTGCAGCCTATAAATATGGTATGATTTAGCTGCTAAGATGTTGGTGGGATTTTACCACTTCTGGTTTCATTTTGTTAGAAGTGAGAGCAACCTGGGGCTTAGGAAGGCTATTAATTCTCTATAGATCTCATGATCATGTGAGTCAGCGTGCTCATTGCATAAAAAGAGCTTTATATAGATGTTGAATCAATTGGCAGTGAGTTGTCAATGTGTCTCCGAGACCCTGGGCAGTTGACAGGCTAATGAAGTGCTTTCTCAGTGACACAGAGCTGTTGACATTTTTTTTCTAGTTTCCCTCTTTCCCCCTCTCTCCCCCCACACTAGGATTTCTCATAAATCTCCACCTTGCCATAAGCACCAGGAAGGTTCCCAAGTCAGAGGGTAGCTCTTTGCTACCTTGCACGCAGAGGGTGGCATTTGGCAAACATGTGAGTAGCCTGTGTGTGTGTCAGGAACCAGAGAGTGAGGACAGAAGTCAGGCAAGGAGTCAGGCGCTTGGCAATGGGTTCACCAGCCTGGTTTTAAGAAGACATAGAACGAGTGTAATTTGGTTTATCAGCCCAAACTGCAGCTTCAGGGCTGATTACCTGCACTGATCCAGGGTAAAGGGCTTCCAAGCCGTGTTCCTTTTCCACTCATCCAGAAGCAGAAGGAAACCTTTGTTTATTTTGCATCACTCTTTAGGGTTCCCATAGGTACCTTTTGCTAATGTCTAATGACTGAGTAAACCAGTTTCTATCCTGTGAAGTAAAAGATCCGCATTTGTTCTTGCAACTCGAGTACATATTTAGACACCAAAAATTTAGGATGTGACTACTGCTTACCTATATCAAAAATATCATATTGGATTCATACTGCTTTGCAGGCCCACCTTGTAAGAGAAGCTAGTTTGATTAACACATGCAGAAAGAAATGGACAGGGTGAATAATTAGCCCTAATTCTTAATAAAAAGTGGATGAGAAGGCAGCATTTTCATTCCGTTTTTCCCAGCCAGCCTAGAAGATGGGAATATGTTGTTACATAGTTTGGGGTTTCAGCCTAGCCGTGGACTGCCAGTGCAATTTTCCTGTTTGCTTTCATGGAAAAGTTTAATGAAAATGGCCTTGCCGGATGATTTAAATACTGAAATACCTGCGGCTTGACAGCCATCATAAAGGGGTGCTTGTTTTTGCACAGTTTCCAAGAAATGCATTGGTTGCTAACACTAATGATGAGACAAATTATCATGAAAGTTCTGCTGTCATTCTTGGCCATGAGTGATCTAGAGATCTTTGCACTTTTCAAGGCACTCTGCTCGGTAGAGAGCTAAAATTAGAAATTCAGGTGATTCCCAAGACAACCGTGATGAGACGAGGTCAGAGGAAAGGCTTCCCTGTGCAGTGTACGCTACTCAGTTTTCAGTTCTCAAGCACAGACTGCTTGACAATTAAAGCCAAACCTTGCACCCACGGAAGTCAGAGGAAAACTTGAATTAATTTTATTGAACTAGAATCAGGCTAGACATACATTGCCATTTCATCTTAATGGACACTGAGGCAGAAGGAAGTCTTTTTTTTTCCAAAAGGTTCTGCGTTCTGCGCATTGTGAGCCGTGAAGCAGATTCAGAGGAACTCGGAGTATCACACAGATTATGTAATATTGGAGGTAATTCCTTTACATCCTTTGCTAATATTCCCAATGAAGTTTTTTTTTTAAATGGACAGAAAGGTGAAACTGCTGCTTTCTAAATGCAGAAATGCAGAAACTGCTGCTTTCTAAATGCAGAGAAGTAAGGCAATGTCCTGCTCTGCAATGGAGTGCTCCTATCCTCTTGGGGTGAGAAGGATTCACCTCGCAAGTGAGACTTCTTGTCTAGCACAGCAGAACCCAAATCTAGGAGAAAAAACTGCAAAAATGAGAACGTTAGGGTCTGTTTCTGGGAGACAAAAGGAAATCCAGTCCTTCTCTCAAGGTGTTAATTGCATGAAAAGATATTATGTACTTTCCTGTTGTTTCAGAACTACCTCCATCTGTGGTTTGTTTTCTGAACAAAGCTATAAGGAAGAGGACAAGCTAAAAAAGTGGCAAATATTCAAACAAACATTAGTGTCTTGCATTACCTTGGGGCTGGTTCAGTTTGCTGATAGCTCAGATTCAGCATGGTCTGAGTAATGAAGAGCTGACTAGTGAGCCTGGTTTGGTGCAATTCCCTGAGTCCTCCTGTAACATAACAATCCCAGAAAGAGTATAATGAAAAATAACAGAAAGGTAGCTGGGGGCTTAACTTATGATCTCTGCTCATTACAGTAAGCGACATTTTCATTGCAGTGTTACCATAAAGATTATTGGCTGCCACATAACATAGGTCCCTCCTGAAAACATTCTGAACAGCTTTGTCTGCATTGTCACAGCCTATGGAAAAACACCAAAGGTTTGCTTACCATAGTACTTGTTTGCCAGATATTAATGGTAGGATGGTTTGTTCAAAATTGACTGGGAAACTTGGTGAATATCCTCTTTCATTTTATTGGATGGCATCTATGTGACCACCTATGGTCCGCAACAGCAAGCATATGTCAGTGGAAAACCTATGTGTATCTCAGCATAGTTCATCTCTCCATAATGATCTGTAGCTTTCAAAATCCCAATGTTTAAATATGACCTGTGAAAACACCTTTGAAATTGGCTTTGTGTTTCCTTCACACATACATGGGCCTGTCTGAGGACAGCTCATGAGGGCATCTGGAACAGCAACGTCTGCTTGAGCCTGTGGTCAGGGGTTAGTTGAAAGGGTTGTGTCTGGAAACCAGAAAGAGATTTCGCAAGGGAGATGGCAAAATTCAATCTTTGCATTAACCCGCCATGCAAATTTAAAAATCTAATCCAGGAATGTTCCCTTGGAACAACCTTCATGGAAGGTAAATCCAGCTTGAGTCGGACACAGCTCATTCAGGTAACTGAGTGAAATGTGCTGGTCTGTGATGTCCAGGACTTCAGACATGGTAAGAAAATGCTCCTGTACAGTCCACACTGTACAGTCCTGTTAACCTTTTACAACTGTGTCAAGAAGGTGAAGTGAGGTTTTTAATTTCATCTCTTTTCCTCTTTTATTTAAGAGGTGACAGCTCAGTGGTGTGAAGGAGCCAGGCCTTCTTCCTTGCCGCATTGAGCAGCTGCTCCTTAGCCCTGTTCTGTGTCCATCCAGCAGCGAGGCTGAGCACAAA